CTGACCATGCGGGGCACGATGAGTGCCAACAAGCTGAAGAAACGCGTGGGCATCTTCAACATATTCGGCAGCAACAAGGTGAGCAAGTTCGTGGCCAACTCCGCGTGGATGACCCTACTTTCCAGAGTTTTCAGTTAACTTTCTCACTTGTCCGTTCCACTGTGTATGCACCAGAGCCTCTTTTCAGTTGAGACGCTTCTTGATTAGTTGTTAAGTTCGATGTTCTAAATAATACCACATAAGTCGTAGGTCTTGGTTTCGGTTCGTGTCTCTCCTTATGGTTTACTCATCCAGTCTTCTCTCTTTTCCGTTCTATTTCTATATATATTAATTTGATCGAATCTCGATTACCATATCTTTATTTCACTTGGACATGGTTCTGCCTCTTGCCGTAAGTACCAAGTGTCCAATGTCCTCGATTCGTGTCCTCTCCATGCATAATTGATCGGCATTTCCATATATACATACATCGCCTCACCCCCTCGGATTGCTTATGAATTGCCATGTTTTGTGTCTCATTTACTAATACTTTTGTGCTTTGAGTTAACCTTGACCCACTGCAAACTTATCCCAAATCCAAGCTTCTTCTATAATTCACAAATATTAATTGATTAACTCTTGATTTCTATTTTTGTACACATATTTGTTGCTGCCATTCGATTTTGAAATGATTAAAATGCTTATAATCACACGAACACAACACAAAAACCACTGACAAACATGTGATACAATTTCCAAAAAAAAAATGCAAACCTACAATATAAATTACTAAATCAATTCGTTGCCAATAGCAACGGCAGATAATTGAAGCCTGTATCACCATGAAGGTATGATAATTCTTTCAGCTCTCTCCCAACTAACTAAATAACTAACTCTAACCTTAACTAAGCCTAGCCTTAACTAGTCCCTTACGATTAATCTTAATAACACCACTATCTCGCTATCTCTACTAATCACAATCAGCTAAATACAAATCTAACCATCACTAGCATTTCATTAATAATAATTAATAGTCTGAGCCACTTTCACTTTAAACGCCTGAACGCAAAACGATCGGCATATTCTTGGCTTCATTTAACATGGTCAAGTTCTAAAAATAACATCACCAATTATCCTCAAATATTTAAATTAACCAGTAAATAAACTAGCTGAAAGCCACAGCAGCACACTCACACATTTTTTTTTATTTTTTTTATTGTTTCATTAGCTTTTGAAAATCCCTTTGCATGATTGAAAGCCATTTCGTTCCATTACTTTAATACTTTTTTTATGGTACCTTTTAATAGCCTGTTGGTTTGATTTGATTGATGTCGAAAGCGGGTCATTGGATTATCAAAATATTTGCATTTATTGTTTTGTTTGTTGATGTTTCTTTGTGACTCTTCTGTTGTTTGTACTGATTCGAATCACTGCGTGCCACTTTTGTTGTGTCTTGTGGATGTCTTATCCTTTTTAGTCCTGATTTGTAATGTATTTCATTGCATTCGCCTCTTAAGAAGTCATTTAAGATATTTGTAGTGTTCCAAACTAATCATAGTAATCATACCACAGAATTCCCTGACTGCCGATGGACAAAAGGAGGACTTTAGCGATCTGCCACCGAACCAGCGGAGAAAGAAGCTGCAGGCGAAGATCGCCGAACTGCAGCAGAAGATCGCCCAGGAAACAAATGCCCGGGATGGCCTGATGAAGATGAAGATCGTCTATGAGGCGAACTCCTCGCTGGGCAATCCCATGACCGTCGAGGGACAACTGAACGAGTCGGAGCACAAGCTGGAGAAGCTGAAGGTGGATCTGAAGAAGTACCAGGGCTTCCTGGAGAAGGCCAGCCAAGTGCCGGTGGCCACCAGCAGTCCGCAGGCCAATCGAAATCAATTGCAAAACGGTCACCGAACCTCTAGGTTAGTTTGCAGTCTTACTATTCTTTAAAGAAGATCCCTTAATGTTGGAGTTTTCCCTTTTAGACATTCCAATGGCAGTGCCGATGACCATCATGACGATGGCGATGACCAGCCCGATGATGCTGGCAGCTTAAGCAGGTCAGATTCTGAGGATAATGTGGCGCAAATACAAAATGGGCATAATAATAACAATAACGGGTACACTCATAAGTCTACGTTCAATGTTTATATATATATATATGAATATATCCCTCACCCACATACACTACTCGTACATACATTATCGTAGCATTATGTTTTGGCATCGCATATCTAATCTGTATTATTTAATTCGATCATACTATCACTGCACTACTTTATATGGTGTGTGGCATTTTCTTTGGTGTTGGTTCGTCGTTACTCATTCACAAAGTCTATAAAGAAATAACAGCCCAGAAAGTCCACAATATGCCAAAGATACAAAATTTATTAAACAAATTAGCTTTAACTTTTAATTTGTAGCTACAAATTTATTCTTTATTGCCTTACACCCTACATGATGACACTTAATAATGTGAAAATTGCAACTTCTTCAAATATTTCGTTTCATTTTGCCTTTTCCATGGTGAAATCCAGCAGTTCGGCAAGTCCCGAGAGCGGCCTGGGCACATCGCACACATCCTTGCCAGGATCGGGCCAGGGCAGTGCCAACGAGAATGCGATTGGCGAGGATACCTACTATGAAACGGAAGTGGAGACCCTAAACCCACTGGGCACCTGTAAAGCCCTGTATCCTTTCGAAGGTAAGTGTATCACTATCAACTTATGAAATAACTTATGACTATAATTATGACTATTATCCCTTTAATAGCCTCCAGCGAGGGCAGCATACCCATGAACGAGGGCGAGGAGCTGCAAGTGATCGAGATTGACCAGGGCGATGGATGGACGCGGGTGCGGCGGGCGAACAACTCCAATGGCTGGGACGAGGGCTTCGTGCCCACGAGTTACATCGAGTGCACGCTCTACGCTTAAGATTCAAGTTTAAGTTGATTTTCGGGGCGGGCAATCAGCCGGGCGGTTTTAAATGTTACCTACTCAGCAACTCTTGCGTATGATCGTATGATTGACTTTATGTACTTTTGTCATAACTTTGCGTTCTATTGGACAGCCATAACACACACACACACTCACACATACACAGAGAGAAAAATCAGACACCTAACTATCACTATCACACAACAACACTGTACATTTTGACCTAAGCTAAGTTCGATTCATTTACCCTTCGTATGCTTTGTATATTTACGTACTGATTTTAAACAAAACGTCATTGATCTTATGGTAGTGCAAGCTATATCATACTATATAGTAAATACTATAGTCATATGCACCTACGAGCAGACCTCACCTAATTGTAAGCACCGCAACGCAACGCAATGCAACTTTTCCCTCTCCACCACAACAATCAATCATGATAACACCTATTTATATACATATATGAAACCAGATTTATATGGCACTTGAATACGTGAGAGCATGAAAAGAAAACTAAGAAACTAAAAACATTGCCGTTGGACATTAAAAGTGATCTTGTGAACACGTTTCCAGATGCAATTCATTTGGCAAATGTGTTGATAACACCCACTTTTACTCGGTTCTCGGCTTTGGAGCCTTAGCAGCACCTGCCGCTTTTCCCGCTGACCAATTGGAAAAGCGGCAGAGTGCGATTTCCTTAAAAAAAAATTAAGCACTAAAACTTTGGTAAATATGCAAAGATCAAGAAAGAAAGGACATCGATCATATATAGACACTCAAACACACACACCCGAAACTCAAGGATATGTGGGCAAAAGTTATGGCAATCCTGCATGACATGCGGCATAGGCAACTGCGGAAGCAAAGAACGCGCTAGCTTGTTTTATATAAATAGCAACAATTGTACATTTTACTTTACACACACACACACACTCTAATTTTAATTTGATATAATATTTTGTATTGCTCTTTGCCTTGTACATTTTCACACACACACTATGTTTACGAGAAGCGATTTCATGCGGACAGTGCATCTATTAGTTTTGTTTTAGGAAGGACCCTCTAGACGTTTAAGTTCACAACATTTAAGGCTTAAGTCAGAGCAAAGCCGGGCGGCGCTGCATTTGTTATGTCCGACGCCACTTTGCAATACATTTATTTATATTTTAATAGGATATACCGCTGTATATTGGTAAACCACAAAAATCAAAAACCTGAAACATAAGTCTGCGGATGAAGTCCAGGCGGAGCGAGATAGGTCCTTAGTTAGCTATTCAGCAGCCTTTTCCATCTGTATTTTGTACTTTCATTTCGCATATAATATGCTACCATGCTTTAGCATTTAAGTGTGCAAAAACCAACCACTGATACAACTGATGAATTCTGTTCTTCTTATGTTTATTGCAATCGATGTGAGTGAGCGAATGATGAACGATGAACTAATCTTAGTGCGAACGCTGAAAATAAATAATTCCAAAATTCTTAAATTTATCTAATTTTAAATTCGAACCCAAAACAGGCACATACGTATTAACGCTAATATGTTTACGACATCAAATGGATTGAGAGTAATTGAACTTAAGTGACAGACTACGGCAAATGTATGTGAGAATTGTCGGCATAATAAAAGTAACTAAAATTAAATGAAAACTAGCTGACTATCAATTTGGGTATGGGTTGTTTTTTAAAGATGGTTAAATATTCAAATTCGTATGGAAATTTTAATGCACTTAAAAAGTGTCGTTTTCGAAATATAAGTCGAAGTTTTTTTACAGAAATAATATTCCCTGGGAAAATACAAATTTTAAAACACTTATTTATAAATGGTTTACAGAACCTGGAAATTGGCATTATGAAGCTTAAGAAAAAAAGTTTTGGGCAAAACATGGAGAAGTAACATTAATTTACAACACTAAGTAATTATTTTGTTATTCGCCATACACTTAGTATTGTGAAACCATAATAAGTAAAACATATATATTTTCTAAAATGTTCAATTTTTTTTTAAATTTGGAGTTACCATATTTTATCCGTGATGTGCTGGCAATTTTAGTGCATTGCTCAACAGTTGAGGTATTATTTGGACTCTGCGTATACAGTCTGTCTCATTCTGAAAGCCGGTAATAAATATTTCAATTTTATGGAACCTTCTGCTAAAAAATCGAAAATGGTTAAAAATCCCAACTTCAAGAACAACAAGAAGAAGTACTTCCACACCAAGAGGCAGGTGCTGCAGCCTGGCCAGCGCGGATTCTTTGCCACGTGCAACATCAATGAGAAGGCATGCGTTCGCGAATGCTACAATCTGTTGAACCACTATGCAGACTTGCTTTACGGCCCCGCCAACCCGGAGAATGAGCCGGAAAGGAAGAAGAAGGATGAGGAGGGAGCAGCCGGTGGGGAAGCAGGAGAGGATGCTGGAAGGCCAGCGGGAGCCACCATCAGCGACGATGATGACGATCTGGAGGCAGCCACTGCCAAATTGCGCGAGAAGCTAGTCCAGCGCAATGTGCGCTTCCAGAATGTGGACACCAACACCACCAATTGCGTCTTCATTCGCACCCATCTGGAGGATCCCGTGGCCCTGGGGAAGCACATCGTCAACGACATAGCCACCACCGGCAAGTCCATGTCCCGATTCGTCCTACGCCTGGTGCCCATCGAAACCGTGTGCCGTGCCAATATGCCCGACATCATCGCTGCAGCCGGCGTGCTCTTCGACAAGCACTTCCTCAAGGAGCCCACCAGCTATGGCATCATCTTCAACCATCGCTACAATCAGCAGATCAAACGCGATCAGATCATCACCCAGCTGGCCGAACTGGTCAACTCTAAGAATGTGGGCAACACGGTGAGCCTCAAGGAGGCCAAGAAATCCATCATAGTGGAGGTGATGAGGGGCTGGTGCCTGCTCAGTGTGATTGACAACTATCTGGAGTGCAAGAAGTTCAATCTGGCGGAGCTGGCCAATCCCAGCGAGAAGAAATCCAGCGGTGAGGGAGATTCCAAGTCGGAGAAGTCTTTGGAGGAGGCTGCAGGGGATGCCAAGTCGGAGGAAGGGAAGGAGGAGTTAGCCCAGGAAGATGGAAAGTCACAATCCGATAAAGAGGACGAGACCAAGTAATCTTTAGAACAAACCAATGAGGAAACTAAGAAGCCTTAAGAGAGGACTCCCAGCCCAAAGGAGGCAATGGTTAGAGGACCACAACTAGTTATAGCTAAACACTCTGCTGTGCAGACTTAATGAATAAAAACGCTCCAGTTATTATTCTCTTTCTTTAAAAATTTAAATCGTTTCTTTAATCCATTGACGCTTAGCGGCTAAACTTTGGAGTAGAGTCTGTTCTGCTGGCCATATCCTAAGTCAGATTGTGTCTGTTTTTGTGTGATAGCTTAGCCTATGGGTAGTTAGTTGAGTAAGACTAGGTGTAGACTAGAGCCTCGGTTTTTTAGTTGCGCTTGAGCAGCATGACCACGGTGCTGGCTATCTTCTCGTAGGCCATGAACATCAGGGCGGCGGTGAGCACGGTCTGCAGGATCTTGGCCTCCAGGCCGCGGAACAGACCACGGATGCCCTGGTGCTGCAGTATGCTGACCATCAGCTCCAGCGTGCTCTCCGTCCGCGGCTGAGATCCCGCCGAAGTGGAGGGCTTCGAGTCCGACTCCTTGCTGCGATGGCGCTGCTTGGTCTGGACCAACTGCAGCGGATAGGTGAGCACCGTGGCGAAGGCCTTGGCAATGGCACCAATGAAGAAGAAACTCAGGCTGCCCATCTCGCCGCCGGTGAAGCGCATTATGTTCCGCTTCAGCATCTCGTACATCATGAACTGCAGGGCGGGATTGGAGACCAGCATCAGCGAGGGAATCGTGCCGGACCACAGGCCAGCGATGCCCTCCTTCTGGGCCACATACTTGAGACCCTCCAGCAAGTTCTTGTAGTGCTTGTTCACCTCGTCCGATGTGCCAGCCACATTGCGCATACGCAACCGGGTGTTGACCACCCAGAATGGTGTGGTGGTCAGCACATTGATGATGCCCGCTATGCTGCCCAGGAACAGATCCTTGAGGGCACTGTGCTGCTTGGGGGATCCACCCGAAGCCACCGCCTTGAGGGCGTGGAATGTGTAGAAGTAGACAAAGTTCGAAATGCACAGGCTCTGGAGAACAGGACCAAGTCCCCGGTACAACGACTGGAATCCCTCGCCCAGCACAATCTCCTTGATCACCTGCTTGGTACTCCGCACCTCACCAGTCTCCTCCACTGCAAATAAAATACAATTGTTTTATTTTCAGGTGATTTCTGTTAAAGCGCTAATTTAGTTTGTCACGCATATTCCGGAATCAGTCATATCAACCCAACCTTGAACCCTATTATGATAATTATCTAATTTTTGTTTTGATGCGTTTCAGACATACATGTATATGTGCATGTACAGTCAATATTGACTAATAAGTAACAGAATATTCCATTTGACTTGAAGTGCAATCGTCATACAAAACAGCATTAAAAGCTGCATTTTATGAGTGTTTACTTTTTACTCAAATAAGGTAGCATTTTTAATAAGTATTTTACACAACTAGGAGAAGAAACAAATAGAATATAAAATAAGAATAACTACAAATTTTCAATTACTATTTTAAAAAACTATCAAATTTTTTAATTTTTTTAAATACTTTTAAACAAATTTTTAGGAGCAAATTTCTGTATTAATTTTTTATAGGGACATACAAGTTTATTTTTAAGCATTGTTAACTGTATATATTTCTTTTTTATTAGTCAAAGTCCAAGAGCTATAGACAATTGCAAATTTTATGCATTTTTGTATACTATAAGTTAGAAGCGTATACCTTTAGTAGAAATAAATTGGAAACTCTTAAAAGTGAACTCTCGCTTTAAAATAAGTGTTGCAATTGTAAATTATTAAAATATATATAATAATATTAAATATTAAGTGAATTTTGTAATATAAAAGCAAAATGAAGTCAGATTGTAGGTTATCAAAAAAAAAAAACAACACAACAAAACAAATAAAATTCCTTTAACAAACATCTATAGGCTCTTTGAAGCCCTTTGCATACATTTAAAAAATGCTCTTTTTAAATAAATATATATTTATGCAATCTTGTCTGAGTCCAGAAACTAGATCCTATCGAGTGCCATATATAAACAGAACCCAAATTTGGATTAGCGCGGGCAATTGATTAGACGGGGGCTCTTTAACATATCAATAGAAAGTTTAAATCGCTGGAGTTTGAACTCGCCTGCAGGTACACATATATATATATATATGTATTATCTAAGCGTGGCCCGCTTATCTTGGTTCGATTAAAGATTAGTTACAGACTGACCAACAATCGCAAGGGGAAACTTACGTTGCAGGCGGGAACGCACAGTGTCCAGTGGATAGAAGGTGCTCATGGCGATGCAGCCACCCTGTAGAGAGATGTCCAAATGCAAATTAGCAACTGTTTACCATCTTGACCTTTAGCCGGGTAAATATTTGAGCACTCACCGCGGCTCCGGAGACGGCATGAACGAAGTTCTGGTAGCTCAGCACCTGGCTGAGTTTCGAGGGGGCCACCATTCTGGGTGTTTGTTCGGCGGACTGCTGGGTGGGATCTCTGGATTGGGACGTCCGGCGGCGTCTTCGGGCGAGTGTTTACTGATTGAGACGTCGTCGACCCGCCGGTAGTTAAAAATTTAGTTGCGGCAGCGCAGTCGCTGCTTCGTCGAGATTAGATTAATTTTAATCGGCGGAGGAGGAGGCGATGGTGGTGGCTATGTGGGCGTCAGCGTTGAACCCTTTGTTGTGCCTCCTGGATCACGATTTAATAAATGATTCACATATTCACCTTTTCCATATACAATTTCATTCACAAACAGTATGACCGTTGTTAAAGGTAGCCAAATAAACCATCTAACTGGAGAAATATACTAAAATACCAATTTTTATTATGCCAACATACCGTTATTCAGCTTTGAAAAACCAGTTTTATAACTTAAAGTTAAACTATATATTTATTTTTTAAATTATATATATATATATTTAAGTTATAAATTTCTACATACCAAGTTTCCCAACGTTTGCTTAAAAACTGAAAACAAAGTAAAATGACTGGTAGAGGTCTCAGTTTTGAAATAATAAAAGTGGTTTTTATATATATGCTTATATCTATTTAAATGGTATATTTTTACATTCCAAGTTTCAAAACATTTGGGTAATAAGTGTAATCAAAAAATTAAAATAATAGGGATACCCCAGAAATAGTTTCCAAAATTTACATATACAAATTAAATTTATTGTTTCTTTACTCTTATTGCCTAACTTATTGGAAACTATAGAAAAATGTACAACTAAGATGTGTCTAGAATTAAAAGTTATTAGCCTAAAGAAGCTGATCTATAAGGCACTTTTCTCTACGAGGCTCTAGTCGTGGTTTCTTCATGAAATTAACGCCCGTTTCAGTGCTGCTGTTAAGAATATCGGCGGCTTTTCTTTTCCGACTCTACAAGTTATATAAGTTTTAAATTTTAGAAAGGGGTTTACGAAATAGATCTGAGAAGAAACATACCTCATGTTCCTCCTCCGTTAAAGTGGCGAAGACAAAGTTCTTGGCCTTTGCAGTCTTTACAGAAATAGTGCTCTCCGATCCGTCCACATCGCCGGAGGATCCCTTGGTCAGGCCGGCCAATTTGGTGAGCGTCTGCTGGTCTCGAACCAGAAAAGAGCCACGCACAGCGCTTTTTTGCTGCTTTCCAGCTACTGTTTTTGAGATCAGGAATGGTGAGCTCTTCTTTATCTCCACCGTTGACTTTTTGGATGAGATGATGTTGAGTCGGCGAATGGAATTTCCAGAGTTACTGGTGTTTATCACGGTTGCGGACAGTGGAGAAGCTGCCTCCTAAAATATCATAATTGTTAAGACAAAAAATTATAGAGAGTTTAGGAGAACTCCCACCGGTTTTAGGCCCTTTTCTAAGAGTAGCTGCTCTCGTTCATATCGAATCTTTCGCCACAGATGCTCGTTCTCCTCATCGCCACTGCCCTCGTTTCCTTCGCCATTCTCTGGACGATGATCATCTAGGCTGAAGCCACTCTCAGCGTTCTTCCAGCGGAACTGGCGTTGGCGACTTGCCCCCTCCTCTTCCTCTTCGAAGAGCATTTCCTTGATCTTGCGCACCTCCCGAATATCCTGATCCATCATTTTGCGACTGTAAGGAAAGAAATTATATTAAATTTGGGTACTCAAAGTGGTAATAAAGCGATGTTTACTTACGCATGAATTTGTCCCAGTTCGTGACGCAACTTGTCCCGATCAAACTGATCCTCATCGCCCAGCTCTATGTCATATTCATCCATGTTCTTCTCGTCCTCGTCGGCCGAACCCCAATCGGACTCTGATAGCTCAGCCTCTTTGTCCACAAAGTTGGCGGCTCGTAGTTTGCGATCTTTCGTGGTCATCTCCACAACAATTTCATTCTCCTCGGAATCGTAGTCCACAAAGGTTTCAGGAACTTCCTCTACTGGTTCGACGTTGCTCTCGTCCTCCTCGAATTCCTCGACATCACCATCGCTTTCTTCGTCATCCGAAAAGCCAAGTTTGGCTTTTTTCTTGGGCCTCTTCTTGGTTAGCTTCTTGTTGCGCAGCTTGTCGGCATCTGGATCAACTTCCTTGACCTCTTCATCGCTGGAAACAATTCTGTTGGCCACTACAGGCGGCTCTTGGGATTCTTCCGGAGCCTCAGGCTTTTGGGTGGCTACTTGCGATGGAAGCTGAGTGGCAAAGGTGCCGGAACAAAGTCCCTCAAGTTCATCAGGTGCCTGGCTGGTAGTTCCAAACTGTGTCATGGGAATCTGACTGATTACAGCCGTGTCTACAGAGGGTGCGGCGGAGGAAACCATCTGGGATTGCGGGAACTGGCCGGAGCATAGATCAAGCAGCTCGTTCTCCTCGTCACTGGCCGTTCGCCGGGTCTCGGCATCGAAAAGTTTGTGGGCTGACAATTGCAATTGAGTGGCCGTTATGGGAGCCACATTACTTGGCTTGGGGGTTTGCAGCAGGTCGAGATCATCTTCATCAGAGTTGTCGTCCTCGAAGGCTCTAATGATTCTATTCTTTTTCCTCCCTTGAGTTTCAGGCTCTGCTTCGGATTCGCTTTCCTGTTCACTCTCACTGCTGTTTTCTTTTATTTCCAGATCTTCAACTAGGTCAACCTCTGCATCCTCATCTGCATCGCTTCTTATTTCTTCTGCCACCTCATCCTCTTCTGCAGTGCCTTCCTCTATAATCTCCTCATCTTCGTTTATGGTGACCTCAGTATAGCCAGGTTTTTCTTCTGGCTCATACTCCTCATCCACTTCCATGCCCTCCTCCTCCTCGTCTTCAGCCATCCTCTCCTGCTCTTCAGCTTGCTTCTTGCGTAGATCTTCCATGCGCTTCTTGGTTATCAGTGACTTTAGCTGCTCCTGCATTTTAATGTAACCCGCTCCAGGTTTTGGTTCCTTAGCAATCTCTTCCTCGTGCAGGTGAATGTTGACCTTGGACATCTCCAGCTTGCCATGCTCAGTGCTTAAAATGCTGAAATTGTATTGAAGTTAGCTACATGGTTTCATTGTCTAATAAGATAACTTACTTGACGGTTTCTGTGGTCTTGTGCTTCTTGGCTTCCCTCGTCTTCATCAGGCGCTGGAGCAAATCATCCAGTCCTGTGGGTTTCTTGGCAAACATATCGCCTGTTTCCAGGTCAATGACCATATTGGCATCGCCCTTGAGCGATGGACTTACATCCAAGCTCTTCTCGATCTTCAGTCGTCGAATTGCATCGCTGATCTTGGGCGTGGCTGGCTTGGAGGGCGGTGTTATGTTAATGGTGCTCAAGTCCAATCTGGGCAGTTCCACTACCTCTGTGATTAGACACACTTTGCTGGGAGATTTCACCGCACTTTCGGGTTGAATTTCCAAATTATCTGTAAATCTCAGAGAAGCTGCAGAGGAAGTGGATGCAATGGGTTCTTCTTCTGTGATAGGATCTTCCTTTATTGCTTTCTCCATGAAAAGATCTTCCTGTGTTTCTTTGCTGGCCAGCTCTTCTGTCTGCTCCTTGGGTTGTTCCGGTGTTTTGGGATTGTCTAGCACCTCATCCAAGATACCTGAATTATCTTTCAACTCCATAGGCTCTTCGTTGTAGGATTCATTCTCCTCTTCCGGCTCGGACTCGGATTTAAAGAACTCGGTGGCTTCTTTGGCACGTTCCTCCATGAGTTTTCTAAAAGTTAAGGAATTAAAACAGAGCTTTCCAGATATTTTACTTAGCTTACGCATATGCCTCCAATTCCTCACTGGTCATACGAAGTCCCACTGACTTTCTGGGCTGCCTGCTGGGCATGGGACTTCCGCCAGCCTGAGCCGTGGCCAATGGAGCATTGATGGTGCGCCGGCTGAGGAACTCCTTCAGTGTCCTGGGCTTCGGCTGATGGTAGGGCACATTGATGTGCGCTTCGCGATGCAGTCGCTGCTGTTCGCTCTGGATGGCCTGCATTCCCTCCAGTGCCTTCTTAGCAGATTCCTGGGAAAATGTTTATACAAATAACTGGCATGTTTTTAGATTTAAATAAATCAAACTAACCCGCACTACTTTGGGCTTCTTGGGTTTTCCTTTCGCCGCCTCATTTGGTGCTTCCTGTTCTCCAGCAGATTCCTCTGGATTGCTCAGCTCTGGTTCGGATTCGGAGTCCACTAAACCTTTTAGTTTGTTCTTGGCGGAACTGGTTTCAGCAGCGGATTCCTCCGGCTCGAATTCGGAATCCACTAAGCCTTTGAGTTTGTTTTTGACAGGACCGGCTTCCTCTTCGATTTGATCTTGATTTTGAATCTGATTCTCATCTTCGCTATTACTGTCCATTCGTTGTTTCTTTTTCTTAATGTTTTTAGGAGGTTTCTGCATATCCTCATCGCTATCCACCTGTAGAACATTTTTACTACCGCTTTTTGGGTCCTGATCCTGCTTTTCAATAACTTCATTAACCTCTGACTTCTCGTCGCTTTCTATTTTTTCTTTATTTTTCTTGGACACCTTTTTGGACTTTACTTTCGTGGAAGGTTTCTCCTTCTTTTGCTCCAGATTCTCCTGGTTCTGCTTTAGTTGCTCTGGGGTTATGAGATTATCAAGCACAATATCCAGGACACCTGGATTATCTTTCAACACCATAGGCTCGTCATCCGAATCATTCTCCTCCTCTGGCTCCTTTTGTTTATTTTTAATGGGCAACTTTTTAGGCTTTTGTTTCTTGGCAGGTTTCTTCAGCTCTGTCTTTCCTTCTTGTTCTATTTTAAAGGGTTCATCTATGTCCATTTGTGAGTCCTCTTCTTTGTCTTTTATTGTTCCTTTTCTATTCTTAGTTGCCTTTTGCTTTTGAGGAGGCTTCTTTTTCTCCTCACCCTTTTCATTTATCTCGTTGATGTCCGTTTGTTTTTTCTTATTGTTGGCCAACTTCTTTGGCTTTGCTGTCTCAATAGGTTTTTCTGGATCCTGATCCTCTCCTTGGTCCTCTTGGGGTTCCTCCTTCTTATTTCTAACCAGCTTCTTGGTCTTTTCTTTTTTTATGGGTTTCTCCAGATTGTCCTCCACATGGTCAGCTTGCGTCTGTTTCTTATTCTTAGTCATCTTCTTTTTCTTGTCTGTTTTGGTGACTTTTTCCTGCTCCTGATCTTCATTATCCGGATCCTCCAAATCGTTTTCCTCGTGGGATGCCTTTTTCCTGTTTTTCTGGGCATGTTTCTTTTGGCCAGGCTTCTCCTCCTTGTCCACCTGTTCCTCCTCCTCACTTTCAGAGTCGATGATGGTGGCGACCTTCTTTTTTGGCCTGGGGGCCACCTGCTCCTCCTCT